TTATTCATATGTATTTTATTCTTATAGAAAGTCTGTTTTTGTAAAATTTTCTAAATAATTCAAAGTCAATGGTTTGATGTTAAAACAATTACGTGCGAATTCGAACGTAAAAAAAAAAACAAGCAGCGTTCGTTATATCGAATACAGTGAAACCTCAATATAACGAAGTTTAACGGGTTGGACAAATGCCATAGATATATTGTTAGATTCGATATATTTAAAGAACATGAAAACCTCGATACAACAAAAAATGCCAACTTTGGAAAAAATTCGTTATCTATACTAATTATATAAAGAGAAGTCCCTTTTTTTGTAACAGGTAATCTCGCGAACGGCTGGTCCGATTTTCATGAAATTTTGTATACAAATAGCTTTCGGTAGGTGGACCAGGGACCGGTCTATTCGAAAAAATCTTATTAAAGTCCGATGTGCTTAAAATTTAGTACGTAAGTAGCTTTTTAGCATATATGACCCATTTTTTCCGGGAAGTGGTCCGGGGACCGATCTATTCGAAAAAGTCGCATTTATGGTCCGATTTGCTTAAAATTCGGTACGTAAGTAGTTTTTTTAGCATATATTAGGATATATGGTCCATCTTTTCCGAGAAGTGGACCAGGAACTGATCTATTCGAAAAAAATCGTATTTACGGCCCGATTTGCTTAAAATTCGGTACGTAGGTAGCTTTTTAGCATATATTATCATATATGATACATTTTGTCCGAGAAGTGGACCAGGGACCGATCTGTTCGAAGAAATCGTATTTATGGTCCGATTTGCTTAAAATTCGGTACGTAGGTAGCTTTTTGCCTGGATAAGCTTATAGATTCCTGTTTTCCAATTTTCATGCAATTTCGAATATAAATAGCTTTAAGTAACGACCATATCAAGGGGCGAATTCGTCACTAGGCAAGATTTTTTTGCGCCAATCTGAAACAACGGATACTGTCAAAATATAATTATAATATATAATATATCTCAACTAATATATATTTAGAAAGCCGTTTGTTAGTTTTCGCAAGGCTCGACAGCGGCTGAACCGATTTTTTTGAAACTGCCACTTGCCACACGTGTCCCAAGGATGGTTTTAGGCTGAAAAATATCTATATGTAAAGGGGGAGTGGCACTTCCCATACAAACCGAATTTCTCATGCTATATATCTCTGAAAGTGTGCATGGTAGAGTTTAGGAAATTGGTATGGAGATATACAAAATCAATCGCATACCCTTGGAGAAAAATTTTAGCTATTGTAAAAAGGGGTGTGACATCTCCCATACAAACCGAATTTTTCATACTGCTTATCTCTGGAAATTTTTTGGTAGAGTTCTAGAGTTTTGTATGGAGATGTACGAAATAAATCGCATACTCTTGGAGAAAAATTGGAACTATTGGAAAAGGGGGCGTGGCATCTTCCATACAAACCGAATTTTTCATACGTGGTAGAGTTCGTGGTTGAGTTCTGCAACTTGGTATGGAGATATACGAAATCAATCGCATACTCATGAAGAAAAAGGGCAGCTCTTGGAAAGGGGGGCGTGGCACCTCCCATATAAATCGAATTTTTATACTGCATATCTCTGAAAGTATTCATGGTACAGTACTGGAACTTCGTATGGAGATATGTATATAGTTGAAATCAAGCCCATACTCATGGAGAAAATTTGGGCTATTAGAAAAGGGGTGTGAGGCCTACAAACGTACCGACCTTTAGCTATCTTTGAATGAATTTTTTTATTCTTCTGCAGGTGTCTTTGTGAGTGATCTCCTTCTAAATGGTTGTACGGATTTTAGCGAAACTTTTTGTGTATTTGAGTGGGTCTCTGGATGGTTTAGTTTCACAATTTAATGTTATGTTATGAGTTATTACTAAAAATCTTATTTATGATCCGATTTGGCTAATGTTTTAAATATGTATGCAATACTATTGCAAAAACGTGCTGGCAAGTGGTGCTGAAGTCGAGCTATTACTAAAAATAGCCAAGTGAGAAAAGGGGCCGGGAAGGTCAGATTAAATCGACCTGTTGCACCATTGAGTATATCGAACGCTCCTGCGTTGCAATTGGCCCAATGGATGTGATTTTCCAATATTATTATGGGTTCAAACTTTTAAGGTATTTCTTCTAAAACAAGTATATGTATATTGCATTTCTGTAGAACAATGATTCGCACCCATTTTGAAATTGCCACCTACTATACTGTAAAGCTTCTAGGACATTCACTATAGAACCGGGTCATTGTTGCCGCCAGGGAGTGAAAATGAAATGCCGCACAACTGGAAAATTTCTAGAACGGATATAACACTTTCCTTAGGTTATTTAAACCGGAAAATGACCACCAAACCTTAATCTTAGCAGACAAATGTGCCAATGAAAATCGTAAACGTGAATTGTTGGTGAAAATGTTGGAACAAAAAGTTTCAATAAAATATATAAAAATTTTGGGCGGGACGAAGTTCGCCGGGTCTGCTAGTAAGTACTATAGTTCGACACTTCTTTATATGGAGGCTTTTGCTAACGGGACTCTAACCATCAAGACGCTGTGTGTGTGCCGACGAAAGCCGACTGCACCCACACACTTAAGGCGTTGATGTCATTTTTTTAGCCTCACCAAAGGCTTTTAAGTATTGTAAGCTGATTCCTCCAACGGGGTGAGAAAATGTTTATTATTATTATTATTTTATTTATGACAGATGTACGGTAAGACATATAGTCTTTTCATTGCACAAATTAAACATTTAAATTACAGATCTTAAACTTATTTTAGACTTAACCTAACAGTAATATATCATAATCTTTAGTAAAGGATAAGAATAGGTAAAATGGATTACTAAAGATGAAGAAGTTAAGAGAGGGAGGCACATAGGTTACTAAGTAAAAATATATGTAATTGCCGTTTTGAAACATCTTTCTGATTTAATGCTTTTAACTAGGGCTGTGCGATTAATTGATTACTCAAAATTTTAATTAATCATAAAGTAAATAACTCAATTATTCGATTAATTGGAAATTATGATTACTCAAAAGTTCAGTTACTCGAGTAATCAAGATTTTTGATTAACCAAAAACAAAAATATTTGAGTAATTTGCTTTATGATTAATCAACATTTCGAGTAAAATGAGTAATCAACATTTCAACTCTTTACATATGTATAAAGTAGTTAAAGTTCCTTAATACTTTGAAAACAACGTTTCTGTTTTCAAAAATTTAAACGAAAAATTTTTTCATATACAGAATGTAAAAAAGTAAATAAGCATTTTCCAAAGTAAACTCTTTTAACGAGCAAAATAATTTTTTTGAGTAATCATATTTCAAGTAACTCGATTAATCATCGTTTTGAGTAATCAAAATCTTGATTACTCGAGTAATTGATTAACCGAATAATTGATTAACCAACTTGTTCGAGTAATCGAATAATCGCACAGCCCTACTTTTAACAGAAATTGGTAGCGAATTCCATTGTCTGATGGCACTAACAAAGAACAGTCAGGAGGCCGTTAATGTTTTATATTTTGGGACTATAATATTATACGTGCGAGAGGACTGAACAAAAGTTAATTTTCTAAAAAGGTAGTCTGGTTGGCGATATCTAATTATTTTGAAAATAAAAAAAATATTTCGGACCATTAAGTAATTTTCAAAGCTGAAACCGAGAATGTTTTTAGTGTACGGCGAAATGTGGTCAAACTTTCTTTTACAATATACGAATCTAGCAGTATTATTTAAAGCCAAATTTAGTTTATTTTTAGATTCGTAACTTAGCTTGCAATATACCGATTCAAAGTAGGTTATTTGAGGAACGATGAGAGATTTCACTAATTTAAGTTTTGTATTAGTTGGTAGGCAGCAGCAAGTAAGCCACAGATTTCTCAACGTGTACTATATTTTTGATACGCTATAACTTATGTGATCCGTGCAAGTAAGGTTAGTGTTCATTTTAAATCGTAGGTTGGTTACTACTGGTCGAAATTGGATTTCCGAGTCTTCCAGAATGATAGGCGATAAGTTAGTAAGGTCGAAAGCGTCGTGCGATATTGGAAGTACCTGTGTTTTGGCTGCGTTTAAATAAAGGCACTTTGTTTTCGCCCAAATTGATATTCTCTTTAGATCATCATTAAGTCTGAAAACTAAGTCTTCGCCAAGCCCAATCGGGCGTGAATAATAAATCTGAGTATCATCAGCGTAAAGGTGTATAGACGCATTTTGACAGCAGTGAACTATGTCATTAATGAAAGCGGTAAAGAGTATAGGGCCCAATATAGATCCTTGAGGAACTCCTGACGGGATTATCATGCGACTAGAAAACACTATTTAAGTGTAATATTATTTGATTGGAAATAATTTTTGCAAACACTTTTGATAATGCTGGTAAAATACTGATAGGCCTATAGTTAACGGGAGATTCGCAAATGTTGCTTTTTGTGATCGGAATGACATTTGCAATTTTCCACTGGTTTGGAAAAGTCGAAGTGGTTAGGGCAAAATTGATGATATGTGTAAGTGAGGGAAGAGCAAAAGGGAGGATCAGTTTAAGAAAACGTAGGCTAAGTCCATCTACACCAATGGCATCCGATTTTACACCAAAGATGCATTTGACAACTTCATCTTCAGTAGTTGTGTTAAACGTAAATTCATGGACAGGATTACAAACTAGACTCTGGTTGACTGTAAAGGAGGACGCGTTTGATTGTCTATTTGCTCCTATGTAATATGAATTCATCTCATTTGCATCAATGATGCAAGTTTTCTTTTCCTTAGCACATACTCCCAATGAGTTCAAGTTTTTCCATAACACCTTAGAGGAAACGTCATTATGAAACTTATTTTTAAGGTAATTTTTTTCGTTTGATGCAAGATGTATTTTGAAACGAATTTCCGTAAACCCTTGTCAAATTAGGTTTGTATACAAACCAGCTACGGTATTGTGCCATCTTCAATATAATTATTCTTTTCAAACACTTGCATTATAAAAAAAATCAGAGTAATATTTAAAAGTATACTTACTAAACACTGGGCTAAGATCCGACCTCGTTGGAATCTTTCCGCTCTTTTCCTAAAAAAAGACAAAATAAAATTAATTTACCTATTAATTTATCGAGTTGAGTTACTTTTTAACTAAGCTCAAACACTAATTTAATAATACTACATAACCCTGCCCTCCAAAAACCACACCGAGCCCATAGATAGGGTTGCCAGATTTTGAAACGGAGAAAGGAGTACATTTATATTTTCGATAGAAAAAAAGCAGTACATGACATAACAAAGGAGTACAATTTTTTTTTTATAATTTTTTGTGCAATTTATTGTTACAAATTACCATTAATTAGGTACAAACAAACAAAGATATCTTCGAAATCTTTTTCAATGCAACAATAAATGTGAACAAGTAATTTTTAGCAAAAAAAAACCGACTTAAAAAAATATATATATATATCTATATATTTCATGATCCAATGATCGGATCTAAACCAAATTAGTACGGGACTACCAAATTAGTACTGAGACACTACCTCTCCGTTGCAAAAAGGTTGACGTGGTGCAAAGTTATGCGGTAACATACATAAAAAAAAAAAAAAAAAAAATATTCCGACGAACTGATAACCAGCTCCTTTTTTGGAAGTCGGTTAAAAATAAAAAACTATATGGGTTGGCTTTCCAATAGGGGTGGTTGTTAAACAGATGGAGATCGGAGGGGGAGTGCACGTGGCACCTTTTCCAACCTTTTTGGAGAGGGCATGAACCGCCATTGACAAAAATGTTACTCCCGACCATTTAGGGCCTTTATGGTTCCCTAGGGACCCCTTAAAAAAATTAGCAAAAGTAACAATTTTCGCTTGCGTTTTTTCGTTTGAAAAAGAAAGAGGTGCCTGCCCCTCTTCCCCGGCAACATAGAGAGGAGAATTCTACTTAGTAAGGGTTATCCCTAAGCGTGGCCGAAGGCCGCCTACGTAGAAAGGAGTTAAGTTCGCTCACCGCCTTTTCAATGACCTCTCTTATAGGAAAGAATTCCAGACTATTCCTGAATGTATGGCCATTTTTTTGAACTAAGCCTTATAAATAATTTCATATTATTCTGATTTTTATATCCGAGCGCCCTGCACCTACCTTGCTACGGCCATGCTTACACTTTTTCACTATCACACTTAACTTTGCTTACTAAGTAGTGTTTGCCACGATATGAATGGCAAAGTACAGGGCCTAAAGTAATAACTGTCGCACAGGTTTTTTGAAAAATAAAAGGATTCTTTATAGATTTTTTTAACAAGGTATTTTTTTTGTTAACTTTGTAAATATTTTACTTTAATTTTATTAATTGGTTTTAAAATTATAATCCTTATTTGCATTTGCCAGCTTTGGGAGATAAGTAATGCGGCACATCTGTGGATAATTAACAATGAACTACTTTTTTCGCAAAATCTATAAAGGCCAATTTTATTTTTCAAAAAAAAACTGTGCAACAGTTATTATTTTACACCCTGTATATGATAAAATATTAATAGCTGGAAAAAGGAGTACAAAATAAGTACAAAACTAATAAAGGAATACATTTCCAGATATTTTTTTTGGGAGTACATTGCAATAAAAAGGAGTACGTTTACTCCCAAAAGCAACCCTACCCATAGACGATATGCCGTAGTAGTTTATACGAGGTGTTTATGGGTTGACAGTTTCTGGAAGAATATTTGTTCTTTCAAAGAAATTTTAAACTTCTCTCTGACTCTCTTATAGGTTCGAAATAGGTTCCCCAATTTACCATCTGCTCAGGAGCCTAAAGTCATTATGGTATTGATGCTTAGTGGTAAGGCCAAACGTAGGGCACACTGCTTATTGCTTAAGCTAGACTCACTACGGAGATCTTGCAGTAAACATATTAACAAGGCCAGCTGTAAGACTAAAGAAATGGACATAGTAATATTTAACGGAAGAAAAGATAGGCAGACAGGGCAGGAACGGAAATACAAATATATAGGGTAGACAACCCTCTATGAACCAAACAGAGGGAATGCAAGATCTCAAAGTTGTTACGGCCGAGGCTGAATATGAAATGAAGTGGGGAGCTTTTGAGTGTTTGATATGGAACACAATGCGAAAATTTGGTATGAAAGCACACCTTCCAAACCTAACCTACCCTTACATGGAGGAACTTCTTTGATGTATGTGCTGTTAAAAAAATATTTCTAAGTAAGCGTAGCTTTGACAAATAAAGAACGATAGCTTTAGTAGCACCCTGACTAACTTAAATTTACAGGACAAATCCCTATTTAGCCATGTGTGAGTGTTTTTCCCCCTAAACAGGGAAAGCGAACTTCAACTGAAAAATCTTTAAACAGCATTGCACGAAGGTGTTAGCAGCAGGGCTGCCAACTTTGCTCAAACCGTGCCATTATTGGCCTTATTTTACTTCAAATGGCACTTAATTTTTCAATTTGGAACAAAGTGAAAGTGAAATCCTTTGCGTCTGCTTCTTTTTCTCAACAAAAATTTTTTAATTTCTATAGCGTATAGAACTGGCTTATCTTACCTTGGCATTGGACTTTTGTTTTAGGAATGAGTTTCTAATTTTAATGCTTAATACGAAGAATTAATAAGTATGTGACCTTTTTGGCACTTTCATTTTTCTATTTGGCACAGTTTGGCACTTTTTTATCCTCAATATGGCACTTCATAGCTAAATATAAGTGGCAGCCCTAGTTAGCAGTATTGAATAAGCACTACACTATGTATCACGACTGCACTCCATTTCTAAAAAAAATATGTTTTGATGCAAGAAGCGGAATCAATTAAAACGGCATTGTTGCTTAAAAAGGCGAACTACCTACATACATATCGTCGATGTTTTTGCAAAACCGCCCATCGACCAATTTGCAAAACCGCCTATTTTATGGCACTCAAATTTACAAGAGAAAAAACTGTTTTTATTTGAAGTCATTTCCTTGATAGGCGATATTTTCTCTAGCTTTTAATTTTACAAATCTGCTGTTTTAAAAACTATTTTGCGATTTTTACGCATAAATCTCGATGCCTGGAGTTCAGGGTTACCAAATCTCATTTTTGCCGCAACGGCGATTTAGGCGCTTTTGCAACTGGTCGATGGGCTGTATGTACATGTTTTATTTCTAACCGTTTCCATTCAGTGATATGCAGCTTTGCTAAGTCGAAAATATTAATACACAACTTTTCAGTAGGTCTAAGGTGACGAATTTAGAACTGGTTCGAAACTATAGAAAACGAGGTGCAGAGCGAACTAGATCTCATCTGTCAAATTTAAAATTCTTTCGGAACTATCCATAAAGGGATGCAGCGGGGGCGATTGATACTTCGTACGACATCGCAATATTAAATTCGGCAGCTGCTACCATGCACAAGAGAATTAACGTGTACCAGTCATGGTTCTGATACTCTCTAGAATCGAACCGATTCGGTACTAGTGCGTTTCCCTACAGGGATATAACACACAACTATCACCTTATGTGAATTCGCCTTGATCAATTGTTTTACATTGGAGTCAAACCACGCCAACTGTGTCAATGAATTTCCATTGATTTTCTGGAAAGTGAAGACAATTGTGGGAATCTGTAGATATTATAGAACAAAAATACACTTTGGACGGTTTTTCGAAATTGCACTTCGTTTTTGTTTTTTTTTTGGTATTATAAGAATATTGCAGTTTTTGATGAAATTTGATGAAATTTTTTTTGAGAGTTGATTTAATTTGGCTCTGTACACAAATGCCAAACTTTCATATTTCGCTTAAGTGAGTGAGTAGAGAAGGAGAGAGTTTGAACTTTCTCTCCCTCTTCTTCCTCGAGAGAAGTATATCTGAAATTTGACATTTGTGTGCATAAAGCAAAAACCCAATGCATATAAGTTGTAGTTGTTGTACCACAGCTATCACCTTATGTGAATTCACCTTGATCAATTGTTTTACATTGGAGTCAAACCACGCCAACTGTGTAAATGAATTTCCATTGATTTTCTGGAAAGTGAAGACGATTGTGGGAATCTGTAGATAATTATAGAATAAAAATACACTTTGGACGGTTTTTGGATATTGCACTTCGTTTTTGTTTTTTTTTTGGTATTATAAGAATATTGCAGTTTTTGAGAGAAAAATTCGTAACTCGCGACCCATTTGATGAAATTTGATTAAATTTTTTTTGAGAGTTGCTGAAGCTTTTCCCTTTACAATAGAAAGATTTGCAGAATAAAATTTGCAAAACAATTAATTCTTTAATAACAATAATTTAAACAATTGCAATTATTTATATATTCCAGGCGCGCGACTGCAGTGAAATTTTGCCAAAATATACTCTAAACTCTTGTTTTTAAGTTCCAAAAAGAAAAAAATGGTCTTTCCAATTTTGACAGTCGCTATCGATTTTGTTGTCACCTTTAAGCTTTGAGTAAATAGCTATTTGCATTTCAGCTTGTGTGAATGATAGCATTTATACGTTAAACAATGTACGTACTTGCATAATTATTCATTAATTAACATAAAAATGCTATCACTCACACAAGCTTAAATGAAAATAGCTATTTTCTCAACGCTTTCCAAATCATGCTGTCAAAGTGAGAGGATGTAAAAGTTCGAGCTCAGTTAAATAAATTCAATTAAAAGTGTATAAAACCCGCTAAAATATTTAAAACTAGAAAAACTAAAATAAATAAGTGAACTTGTTTAAAAAGTAAATTGTGCTTTTGATTTTGATCATAGCAAACAAACGCATAAAACATACATAAATTTTGTCTATAATTAGTATTGCGAAACAAAGTTGAAAATGCCACCAAAAACAAGAACAAATAAAAAGCATAACAAAAAAGAGCGTCTCTCAACATCGAGCGACACAAGCGACAATGAATCTTCTTCAGTGAACTTAACGGGGATTATTGACAATTTAAACAAAGAGTTTAAAGTGCAAGAGCGAGCGATGAAGAAAATAAGAGAATCGCAAGAACACATTAGTGATAGCTTTGATGCGCTCAAAAAAGAGATCGATCGCTTAACAGAAGAAAACAAACAAATAAAAAAAGAGTTGAAGGAACTTAAAACAA